GATGATAAATTCTTTTACTTTTTCTTTGGCTCAGAATGTCTTCATCTTCTCCTCTGAAGAAGAGCGTTGCTTGATACTTGTATTCTTGGCTGGCAATTGTTTTTCTTTTGGTACTGTGAAAGTCTCAACCCACTCCCTCTTGGACAATAAGGTTTCTTTTTTTCTCTTTATTTTATCTTATTTATATAAAGGGAACAAATTTCTGGGCTGTAAGACTTCTGAAGTCTGCAGTCAGGTGACTCGGGTCCCCCATTTTGTGTTACTTGCTTCTTTTCTCACACAGCTTCCAGAATCCTCTCTTTACCTTGTAGAGTTTGATTGTAATATACCTTGGAGTAGACTTGGTTGTGTTGTCTTGGGTGACCTTTGACCTTCCTGTACTGGGCTAGTTATAGTTTTCTGTAGGTTTGGGAAGTTTTCTGTGGTTATCTCCTGGAATATTTTTTCTATTCCTTTGTCATTCTCAAGTCCCTCTTAAATCCCACTTACTCAAATATTTGCTCTTTCCATGCTATCTCATATTTTCCCAACAATTTCTTCATTTCTCTTCTTTCTTCTCTAACTTTGTATTTTCAAATAGCCTATCTTTGAGTGCGCTGATTATTTCTTCTGTGTTATCTATTCTACTACTGATGCCTTCTATCATGTTTTTTTTAATTTCACTGAGTATATTTTTCAGTTGAAGGTTTTCTGCTTGACTTTAATTACTTCCTACTCTATCCAATCTCTGTTAGAATACTGATCATTTCTCTATGTTCTCTTGAATTTCATTGTGTTTACTTAAAACAGCAATTCTGAAATCTTCTTCTGAGCATTTCAAAATTTCCATTCCTAGATGGTTGGTTTCTGGCACCTATTTAGCTTCTTTGGTGAAATTTTGTTTCCCTGGAATTTTCTGATGCTTGTTGAACTATGACATCTGCACATTGAAGGATTATAGTAATCTGGTTTCATTTGTGGCTGTCCTTCTAGAATGTCTAAGTAATCCACTCTGCTGATGAGGTAGGCTATGTTCTGTTGGCTACTGAGGTGGTTGATTGCCTGATGCTGCACATATCTGACTGGGATACAAGACTGCTCAGCTAGGAACATGGAACTCCACTGAACACTGAAGCAAGTTCTAACACTCCATCTAGTCACTGACCTAGGGAAAGGAACCATCAGAATCTTCTTGATGCTGGGTTTTATCAACCTGATATTGAGTTCTAAAACGGTCCCATGATTCCTTTCTCTGTGCCCAAGGTTGGAGGGGTGATGGGAGAGGTAGCTCCTCAGGCAAGTACTAGGAGGATCACACAGTCTCACAGTCACCAAGTTCTGTGAAATCTTAGGGATGCACACCAGGCCCACAAAAGGCAAAAGGTGCTGCACACCAAAAAATCTCACTAGGGCAGAGGTATTCACGTGACATTGGGGCAAGTCCAGAGATGGTCCACAGGCACTGGCCTGGGAATGGAAACCCAGTGGACAGTTTTTCCCAGAGTTGGGCTGTACCAGCCCAGCACTGATTTCTAAGACACAGTCCCTTGGCTCCTTGTCGTCTGGGCAGACAGTTCTCTGGTTGCCCAGATTGGCCCCAGGCTGGGCGTACATGGATTCCATTGCCTCACAAAATTTCAGGGGTGCCTTCCAGGCCCATTGAAGTCTGGCAGTGACACACCCCAAAATGAGTCCTACCCCTTGGAGCACAGGTTTCTGCCTGATGCCAGGTAAGTCTACAGGCTCAATCTGTGAGTGTTGGCTGGGTGGTAGAGGCCTTTGGACTCTCTCAGGTGCTGGGTCTCAGAGTAGTAGGCTATGTTTTGAGCTCTAAGGTGCAGTCCTCAGTTCCCTTTTTCTGTTTTCTCTGCAAGGCTTGAGTTTTGCTTTCTTCTGGTGTTTGGGGAGGGGAGTGGATACCACCTGGTTATGGAGGCGCCAAATACTACTGAATGGATAAGGGCTTGTGGGCAGGAGCCAGAAGGCTCAACCCGATTGATTTTGTTTTTCACAGTGGGCCTAGCACTGGGATTTGGTTTGCTCTCGTTCTCCCAAGTGAGAGGCATCTTTCTAGGCCATGCTCCTTGGGAGATGGGGGAGGGATGATATATGCAGCTCTTTCCTTCTTGACTTTTCTTGTGACTATAACAAGATAAGGCACTGTGTTCTCTTACTTGGCTTCCATAGCTGCAGTGAAGACAACTTGGTGTGTGTATAGCTGTTCACATCGTGTCTCCGTGGGAAGGTGATTACTCAAACCTCTTACTCAGCTACCACCTTAGTATAGCACAGATCTGACCAGGGCATGGGAAGTTAGTGTCAGTAGGTTGATTCCAATTGGAAATGTGGAGCTTCAACAACAGATATCTGTTCCTCACAATTCTGGAAGCTGGAAGTCTGAGATCAAGGTGCCCCCATGGTTGGCCTCTGGTGAGGGCTCTTTTTAAAAATTATTAATTTATTTCTCAATTAATTCAGAAAGGAGGAGGAGGAGGAGAGAGAAACATGAGCACATGCATGCATGTTTAGGCATGTATGCTTGCACATACACATGTGCAGGTGCACACATACACACACACTCCCATCCTCTGATTCATGCTCCCCAAATGCCCAGGAGCCAGAAACTCAATTCAAGTATCCCATGTGGGTGGCAGGACCTAAAGCATCTGAGCTATCACTTGTTAACTTCCCAGGCTGCAAATTAATAGGGACCTGGAACTGGGAGTAGAGTTAAGACTAAAACCAGGCACTCAGATGTGGGATTCAAATATCCCACCCCTTAAAAATTTCATTTTGTGTAGAGGGCTGTTTTCCTGTTTTTCGGGTGGTCCCCACTTTGCAGTGTACTCACATGGCTGGGAAATCATCTCTCATGACTTCTTAGGACAGCACTAATCTAATCTAACTGATGATCCCCTCATTACTCACTTGCATCTTGAAGACCCCATTTCCAACAGCATCACACTGGGGATTAGGCATTGACAGATGACTTTTTGAGGGGTAAATATTCAGGAAAGCAGTTACTCCTTCTCAATTAAGGACTTGCTAATTTATCAAGGACTCTGTAAGGAGACACTATTGTCATTCTCACTTTATAGATGAGGAGATTGAATCTTTGAAAGTTTAAGAAACTTGCCAAATGTCATTGACTTAAATGTGGAAATGGATTTGGTTCCAGGTTTGTTTTTTTAATAAAAGTCACATTTTTAACAGAAAAGTAATGTATTCTAGAGGAGAACAAAATGTAACTGGTCATAACACTAACATAGGTATTAAATTGAGCTATGTAAAATTGCCAGTGTGTGAGTGTGACTAGTTTTAAACAAACAAACAAAAAAACCCCATCAATTTCATATGATTCAAGCTAATAATGGAAGGAATGACTTCAACAAGGTGGAAACAACAACAATCCAGGAAGTCATCAAACACCTCATGAGAGAACTACATTTGCAAATCTGTATAGATGCACAAAGGATTGTAGCAGGTTTAACAAGGTGTTCCATGTGGCCAGATCTTAGAATGTGTGACCAAAACAACAAAGGGGGATGAAGTTGAGAAGACAGCCAGGGGTTGCATCATGGGCATGGTTACAGGGAGGTTAGGAAGCTAAGAAAGGATTTGGCAAGTTTAAGATTTTGGAAATGGGGCTGGCGCTGTGGTTCAATAGGCTAATCCTCCGCCTGCGGCGCCGGCACCCCGGGTTCTAGTCCTGGTCGGGGTGCTGGATTCTGTCCTGGTTGCTCCTCTTCCGGTCCAGCTCTCTGCTGTGGCCTGGGAGTGCAGTGGAGGATGGCCCAAGTGCTTGGGCCCTGCACCTGCATGGGAGGCCAGGAGAAGTACCTGGCTCCTGGCTTCGGATCAGCGCGGTGCGCCGACCACAGCGCGCCAGCTGCAGTGGCCATTGTGGGTGAACCAAGGGAAAAGGAAGACCTTTCTCTTTGTCTCTCTCTCTGTCCACTCTGCCTGTCAAAAAAATAAAAAATAAAAAAAGATTTTGGAAATGGAATAGTTCTGAGTGATGATGATTCAAGTGCGGCTGACTGACATTGGAGTTAAGGAAGCTAAGGGACAGTGAAACAGCTGTGTTAAAAAACCATCAAAATCTCTGAGGATGTTGGTTTAGAAGACCAGATCAGGTACAGAAGTCTTCGAGCAAAGTATGCAAATGTCCAGAAAGTCAGGATGGATGGCATGGGTGTTGTTATGAATAGCAGATTCTATAACTACTAAACTTGAAGCAAGAATTTTACTAAAGGAATCTATGGACCTAATGGCCAATAAGAACCCCACTGGAAATTGTCACAAGAAGGCGTCTGTAAATTACCTCCTTAGACTGAAAATTACCATATAGCTACAAGTAGGAAGCAAATAGTCAACCAAGAATTATATGCATATATATCTTATTTATGACTATATCTTCACAACATCTAAACCTTGGTTTTCTTTTGTACGTAAGCAGTTAAAAGTTATTTAAACTCAATTTTAAGATCATTTTGGGGTATGCAAATGGGGGTTTAGAAATTCATGGTCATACACAGGAGTGCAAGGTGAATTGAGAGAACACTGTTGCTCTTGATGAATCTCCACTTAGGCAGTAAGCTTCTAGGGCTGACACAGCTCTTTGGTGCCAAGGTTGAGTCCTGGCTTTTCCACTTCTGATCCAGTGGGAAACTAATGCTTGTGGGAAGGCAATGGAGAATGGCCCAAGAACTTGTACCCTTGCCACCCCCATGGAAGACCAGATGGTATTCTGCTTCCTGGTTTTGGCCCAGCCTTAACTGGTGCAGCCATTTCAGATATGAACCAGCAGATGGAAGATCTCTTTCTCTGCTATTATTCCTTTCACACACACACACACACACACACACACTTATTTTTTGAAAAATCTTTTTCTTGATTAGGAATTCTGGAGTTTAAATTTCATTCCTTTACCACAACATTTGGAGAAAGATGGGATTCAGGATAGGGGCCCCTGAGGATTAGCTAAGGGCTAACAGCTGACTTCCTTTCACTTTCTGCAGATGGCATACGTACTGGGAAGTACCGTTCACTCTTCCATCCAGAGCAGCTGGTTAGTGGGAAGGAGGATGCTGCGAACAACTACGCACGCGGTCGCTACTCTGTGGGGTCAGAGATCATCGATCTTGTGCTAGAGAGGATCCGGAAGCTGGCAAGTGGCTCCTCTTCTGCTCTGACCCAGACTGTGCCTGGGTAGTTATGATCCTGTACCGGAACTCCCTAGCATTATCTATCTATTGATCTGTCGACCTATCTATTGATCAATCTATCTCACCATCACCATTGCCACCTAGCCTTCTCACTCTGGGTGATCAGAACTGGGGAAGGCTCTTAATCTGGGCTTTGAACACACCCTGTTAGGTGGGAAGGATGACAAAAGCCCTTATTCTTTCCCAGTAGTCCCCATCTTTCCTTCTTCTGCTAACTCAGGGCTTGCCTTGTTTTCAGAGACTTCTGAAGCACTCCAAAACATTTTAATTTTCCAATAGTCATCACTATTTGTGACGTTAACAGAGCACACCCTGCCTGGAGATTAGTTATTCTATTTACTGACAGTTAATTTTTCTGTTAAGGAGCTGAGTCTGAAGATTCCTTGCTGAGTAAGTGTTTTGGTGTTTGGCATAATCTTTACCTAACGCCATACTTTTACATCAGCACTACAGATAGAGCATACAAATAATGGGCTTTTCATCTACTATGGGGGAACATTATTTTGCTTCTATGTATACATATATTTAAAATTTTTATTGATTTACTCATTTGAGAAGTGGACAGATAGACAAGAGGTCTCCCATCTGTTGGTTCACTCCCAAAATGCCTACAGTGATCAGCCTGGCCTGGGCCAGGCCAAAGCTTCAAGCCATGAACTCAATTCAGGTCTTCCACAAGGATGGCAGGGACCAAACTATTGGTGCGTGTTAGCAGGAAGCTGGATTGGAAATGAGGGAGCCAGATTTGAACTAGGCACTGTGATATGGGATGTGAGCATCCTAATTGGTTCACCAAATGATCTGCCCCCTGCACCATTTGAATATTTTGTTTATCATTTTCTCTTTCTTTTTCTTTTTTCCTTTTTGATTGATAAAAGCCTTGCTATAGATCTTATACAGATAAATACATGGAGGGTAGTGAAAATTTAATTTTTATGCTTTGCTTATATAGATTAAGTATACTTTATCTGATATTCTTGGGAAAATAAATGTTTTAGATTTTAGGTTTTTCTTAGATTTTGAAATATTTGCATATATGAAATGAGATATCTTGGGGATGAAATCCAAATCAAAACATAAAATTTATTTATGTTTTATATACATCTTATATGCACAGACTGAAGATAATTTTATATAATTTTATACTATATATTTAGCATGTCTGCATTTTGACTACACCCATCACATGAAGTCAAGTTTGGAATTTTCCACGTGTGGCATCACGTCAGGATTCAAAATGTTTTAGATTATTCTTTATGAATTAGTACCTCTCAGATATATTTCAAAGTAGCTATGTTTGCTGTGGAGTTAGTGGTAAGCTAGTTCTTTCTTGAAATTTTTTTGTTTTGAGGAATTGTATCCTTCCATTACCCTCAAGCTCACTGCCTCTGGATTTACTTGTCTGATTTCTCACATTGTGTTTACTTTACCCAGGCAGAGCAGTGCAGTGGACTCCAGGGGTTTTTGATTTTCCGAAGCTTTGGAGGAGGTACTGGATCAGGATTTACATCTCTCTTAATGGAGCAGCTCTCAGCAGAATATAGCAGAAAGACTAAATTGGAGTTTGCTGTCTATCCAGCTCCCAGGATCTCCACTGCTGTAGTAGAGCCCTACAATTCCATCCTCACTACCCATTCTACCATAGAGCACTTGGACTGTGCCTTTATGGTGGACAATGAGGCCCTCTATGACATCTGCCATCACAAACTTGGTGTTGAACGCCCCTCTTATGCCAACATTAATAGGTTGATAGGTCAGGTGGTATCTTCCATTACTGCTTCTCTTCGGTTTGAAGGGCCCTTGAATGTGGACCTAATTGAATTCCAGACTAACCTAGTCCCTTATCCAAGAATACATTTTCCCATGACAACCTTTGCCCCCATCATCTCTGCCGAGAAAACCTACCATGTGCAGCCCTCCGTGTCAGACATCACTGCTGCTTGCTTTGAGCTCTCCAACCAGCTGGTCAAGTGTAACCCTCAGCTTGGGAAGTACATGGCCTGCTGCCTGCTCTACAGGGGGGATGTCATCCCTAAGGATGTGAATGCAGCAATTGCAGCTGTGAAGTCGAGGAACTCTGTTCAGTTCGTAGATTGGTGTCCAACTGGTTTCAAAGTGGGCGTCAACAATCATCCACCAGAGGTGATGCCAGGGGGGGACCTGGCCAAGCTCCGGAGGGCTGTCTGTATGTTGAGCAACACCACGGCAATTGTGGAGGCCTGGGCCCGCCTAGACCACAAGTTTGACCTCATGTATGCCAAGAGGGCATTTCTGCACTGGTACATTCAAGAAGGCATGGAACAAGGAGAATTCTCAGAGGCCAGGGAAGATTTGGCTGCCCTGGAGAAGGATTATGAGGAAGTGGGGCATAGTTCCTGATGCAAGTGTGAATGGTGGAAATGAATGTTAAGTTCTAATATGTGCTTTCTCTTCAAGCCATTATACATTTAATAGATAGTTTCTCCTTTTAGAAGAGTATCTAAATCAAATCAGGCAAGACCCTAAGTTCCACACTAAATTACGTGGGTCATTATTAACAATGATCACATATTTCTTTGTCTAATTCAGCTGTGATCCCTGAGAGCCTTCTGAGGTTCAGAGTTCTTTGAATAACTGGTTTATTCTAGTTGGTGATTTTTGTTTGTTTGTTTGCCTTTTGTCAGAATGAAAACCTGGCTTTATTCTTTCCTTATATTTTTTAACCGAGACTGGGAATCCCTAAAGTTTATGCTTTTTATTTCTTGTACTTGAGATGGAAAATATCACATGATGATTATGAATGTTGTTTCCCCATATCTATATTTTATACATTGATTAAATTATGATCATTTTTAATATGTTTCTTTTTATTCCTGCAGATGTATACCTTAAGCCATCAGTTTGCTTATCATACAAACAAAAAGAAAATCCTTAGATCTTTTCAACATTTGGATCTGGGTGTCCTGTAGGTCAGAGAGTGAAAATTGTCTCTTCAGCAACCTTGTCCTTGAGGAGCTGTCCTCAAAGCGTGTCCAGTGAGCCCATCAGAGCCATTTTAGACATTCAGTTAAGAGTCTGATTCTTTTTTCCATTTTTTATATAAAAATTATTTTTATTTATTTGAAAGGTAGAGTTACAGAATGGGAGAGGCAGAGACACAGAGAGAGAGAGGGAATGTTTATTTTTTAGGGTCAGGGCTGGGCCAGCCAGAAGCCAGGAGCCAAGAGCTTCATCCAGGTCTTCCACATGGGTGCAGGGACCCGAACGCTTGGGCCATCTTCTACTGCTTTCCCAGGCCATTAGCAGGGAGCTGAATTGGAAGTGGAACAGCCAGGACTTGAACTGGTGCCCATATGGAATACCTGCCTCATAGACTGATGGCTTTACCCCTTATACCACAACGCAGGCCCCAAGAGTTAAATATTAAATGGCAATATGGGGAGCAATAGGGGTTATGACCTGAGCATTTAACATTTAAAAAATATCAGTGGAATACAGTTTACAAAATAACTGTTAATGGACTATAAATGGTTTAAGACCACTAGTAAGACTTTTAAAAATCATGATGTTTAGGCCAATTAATATTTCAGAGTTAAGGTGAAGTAGATACTGCAAACGAGCTGGTGTGGGCTCAGGTGTTGCTCTTGAACAGAGGGTGCTCTCCAGGAGCCTCGTTCCTCTGCTGCTTTACCGTAGGGCCTTAGCTCTCCAGCTGCATTTTCCTCTTGCCTTCTACATGGTAAATTCTTTTAGCCCACATAGACATCTAAAGGTAGTGGGTACTACAGTCTCAGCTAGAGACACGAAGCCGTGTCTTTTGTGAGACTTCCCAAACTACATTGCTGCCACTTTCCTCTTGCTTGTGCATCACCTCATCATTTCCTCCCCCCCTCCTTTCCTCTCTTTCCCTTTCTTCCTTCCCTCCCTCTCTTTCTTTTTTCCTTTCTCCTCCTCATTACTCTCTCCTTCCTTCCCCTCCTCCTCCCTTCCCCTCTTCCTCCTCCTCCTGAATCCTCTTCTTCCTTCTCCTCATTCTGTAAAATGTGCTTTACTTATTTCAGCTTCACAGCACAATTGAGTGGAAAGCATGACTCTCCATTTTTTAACAGTTCTCTGGATATTCTTTTTTCTTTTATTTTTTAAGGATTTATTTATTTGAATGTCAGAGTCACAGTGAGAGAGAGAGAGAGAGAGAGAGAGAGAGAGAGAGAGAAGATCTTCCATCTACTGGTTCACTCTCCAGACGGCCACGGTGGCCAGGACTGGTTCAGGCCAAATCAGGAGTTTCCAGGGGCCCAAGCACCTGGGCCATCTTCTGCTGCCTTCGCAAGCCATTAACAGGGAGCTGGATTGGAAGTGGAGCATCTGGGACATGAACCAGTGCCCACATGTGACTCTGGTGTCACAGACAGCTGCTCTATCCACCACATCACAACTCCAGCCCTGTGATTCTTTAACATTCTAAAATCATGGTCCTGAAATGTGACCTTTAGCAATATGCCATTTTTGCCTATTTTCAACAGGAAAACCATAGTCATAGTGGACAACAATGCTTAGTATATTAGTCAGTTTTCCATTACTGTAATGAAACACCTGAGGCAACATGTCTTTATAGAGAAAACATTTATTTACCTCACAGTTTGGGGGCTAAAAGACCAAACAGTATGGAACAGATTTCCACAAAGCCTCATGGCAGACAGCAGGAGTGTGTGTAGGAGGAGGATAGCACATCTCCATATAGGAAACCGGATTCAAACTAGCTGTGGCCAGGCACAGGCTTTTATGGCAATCCTCTCAAGAGAACTAAGGTCTCATGAGAGGTGCCATGGTCTCTTTCAATGGCATGCTGCAATTGGCCCAAGGACCTCCTACTCTAAAGGTTTACCACCAAACATTGCTGCACTGAGTACCAAGCTCCCAACATATGAACATTTAGGGGTGCAAATAATATCCAAACCACAGCAAACAGTTGGGTGGCAATGATAGTTAGTCTTCAGTGCCTGTAAAGTTTATGGTTTCGCAGCTCAGACAACTATCAGAAGTTGCATTTTTTTCAGTCTCCAAGTATCTGTCTGGGTCCCCTTTGGACTTCCAAGCCCTTTTGCTAAGCACTTTATCTGTGCTGACACTAGAACAACATTATAGAATTTCATTTGGAATTTGTAGGTTGCTAATTTCAAGGTGTTCTAAGATTTTAGTTTTAATAACTGGGAAATGAACCTAACTCAATCTCGTGTCTCTGCCTTGCTATGGTCAAACATGTTAAAGAGAAATTCCCCAAAAGAAGTGTTTTGGTAATCCTCAGTGGTTATCTTCATATCCAACATTGACCAACAGTGAATTGTCTGGTTCTTTATTTAAGTGTGAAAGAAAACCTTTAATTGATGAGGATATTTTTCTGAAAACATCTTTTTTAAAAGATTTATTTTTATTTATTTGAAAGGCAGAGTTACAGAGAGGCAGAGGCAGAGGGAGAGAGAGACAGAGGTCTTCCATCTCCTGGTTCACTCCCCAGATGGCTGCAACAGCTGGAGCTAAGCTGATCCAAAACCAAGAGCCAGGAGCTTCTTCCAGGTCTCCCACATGGGTGCAGGGGCCAAGGACTTGGGCTATCTTCTACCACTTTCCCATGCCACAGCAGAGAGCTGGATTGGAAGTGGAGCATCAAGGATTCGAACTGGCGCCCATATGGGATTCTGGCACTGCAGGTGGTGGCTTTACCTGCTATGCCATAGCACCAGGCCCCTGTAAACATCTTTATACTGCCTTCACCTTTGAAGGTATAGAGTTTTAGGATGATAGTTATTCTGCTGTAACACTTCAAAAGATGTTATTCCATTACCCTTTGGTTTCTATTATTGCTATTGAGAATTCAGCTATCCATTTTGTATCTTTGAAGATAAGGTTTTTTCTTTCAGTTATTTAACAATGTTGTGCTTAGGTATGGTTTTTATTGTGTTTATGCTACTTGGGATTTTTTTTTTAGAGTTTTTATAATCTGTGGCTTGATATCGTCTATAAATTGTAGAAATGCTTGGCCAGCATTTATTCATATATTATTTTTGACCAAGTTCTCTTTTCATAAGACTCAGGCAACACATGTTCTACATATTTCCACATATTTACAAATTTTTTTATTTTAAATATTTTTTCCCATCTCTCTTTCCTTCCAGCTGTATATTTTCTTTATTTTTTTAAAAATATTTGTTTTATTTATTTGAAAGACAAAGTTAGAGAGAGAGGTAGAAACAGAAAATAGGTGGTCTTCCATCCATTGGTTCACTCCCCAAATGGCCACTACTGCTGGAGCTGAGTTGATCCAAAGCCAGGAGCCAGGAGCTTCTTCTGGGTGTCCCACATGGGTGCAGGGGCCAAAGCACTTGGGCCATCCTCCACTGCTTTCCCAGGCACATTAGCAGGGAGTGGATGGGAAGGGAAGCCGCCAGGACTTGAACCAGCACTCATATGGGATGCGGGTGCTGCAGGCCAGGGCTTTAACCCGAAGCGCCACAGCAACGGCCTCAGCTGTATATTTTCTACCTTACCTAAGTTTTGGGAGATACAGTGTGGAAATAATCAAATCTGTTTGTTCTATTAAACTCCAAAGACAATTCAATTCTGTTTATTGGTAGTTGTTAGATCTTTGTTTTTCATTGGAAACCCATTTGAATTGATACAGATCCATGCATTTATGAAAAGTCCTATTACTATTTTATGTACATTTTTAAATTGGAGTTCAAAATGGTTATACTTGTGACAGTTTATTCCAATGATACCTGGAAAAACTGTAGAGAATTAATAAGATTCTTTGTACTTGGAAAGACAAAATTTGATGCTTAAAGTACGTAAGATGCATTAAAATAATGAATGAGAAATGATTTTATATGATATTTAAAGCTTACAGGGCTGTTTAGTTCTATTTCTTTGGGAATTACAAAGTCTCTAATTTTTACTTTTGCCTTTACTTCTATTAAACTGCAATTTACTAGAGAGCAGAATGTTAATCTTAGTACTTCTGGCATCTGACACAGCTGTGTGCATATAGTGAATACTCATAAATGTCTCTTGAAGATATAATGATGTTCCTGGTAATTGTTTTGAGATACATGTTTGCAACTTTTTCTTTTTTAAAGATTTATTTTATTTATTTGAAAAACAGAGTTTCAGAGAGAGGTAGAGACAGAGAGAGAGGTCTTCCATCCACTGGTTCACTTCCCAGATGGCCACAACAGGTGGAGCTGCATTGATCCAAAGCCAGGAGCCAGGAGCCAGGAGCTTCTTCCAGGTCTCCCATGCAGGTGCAGAGCCCCAAGGACTTGGGCCATCTTTTACTGCTTTCCCAGGCCATAGCAGAGAGCTGGATCGGAAGAGGAGCAGCCGGGACTTGAACCGGCGCCCATATGGGATCCCAGTACTTCAGGCCAGGGCTTTAACCCACTGTGCCAGTGTTGGCCCCATGCAACTTTTTCTTATTACCATCTTATTTCTTGTAGTTCTGTTGTGACTTAGCTGGTAAAGTTAACTGCCTGCGATGCCAGCATCCCAAGTGGGCATTGGTTTGTGGCCCAGCCTCTACACTTCCAATCTAGCTCTTTGCTAGTGCACCTGGGAAAACAATGGAAGATGGCCCAAATGTTTGAGTCTCTGCCATGTGGGAGACTAGGATGAGACTCCTGGCTCCTGGTTTAGGCCTTTACCAGCACTGGCTGTTTGTGGCCATCTGGGGAGTGAACATGCAGATGGAAGATATCTCTCTCTGTCTCTGTCTATTTCTCTCTCTTTCTGTAACTTTGACTTGCAACATAAAGAAAACAAATCTTTTAAAAGCTAAACTTTAAAATAATCAGATATTTGTGAAGTGACATCTGACAGAGGACATATTTTGTAGTGACAGTTCAGTAGAGAAAATGATACTGTGTTCTAGTCTAGGTGTCATCGTCAAAACTGTTGATTAACTTTGATCAACTCCTATGATGTCCTTTGATTTCATATTTAATGTCAGTGTTGAGAAGTTATGATGGTTGCCTTTTTGTTCTCAAAGAGTGAGATCATGATTGAAATCATTTTGAGGACTGTAAATGCTAATTATATGTAATATAAGAAACATTCTAGGAACTCAAATATTTATTAAATTGTAAAGTACCAGGACATAATCTTATTTCCTATCTTAACTAAAATCATGTATATCTGACTTTAACTTCTTATATTTCTTTTCAATCTCCTTAAAATGATTTTGAATCTTTAATTATCCTCCACTATTTCACAGGAAAAATGGTTGCTTTTCTAAGATCATTTGTTACTTTTGTACCATTTGACTCCTAATATCTAGCAGATCTAGCTCCTCAGTCTTTCTTGTAGTCCATTTCCCTTTCTTCATTGATTATGTTCTTTTCCCTACTTGTACGTCTAGCTTTCCTCATTCAAAAAATCAATACCCTTCCGCTCCTGCCCTGGACTTTCCTACCCACATAATGTACTGTTATGTCTTCCACTCTGTCAAAATTACCTAGAGTATATGTTCAGGGGCTGGAGCTGTGGCATAGCAGGTTAAACTTCCTCCTGGAGCCCCGTCAATCCTATGGACCCAGTCTCTGCTTCTGTCTCTCTGTAGCTCTGCCTTTCAAATCAATCAATAATCATTCAATCAATCATTCTTTTTCAAGAAATATTCAATGCCTATACCTTATCTTCTGCTTGTTCCCCAAACTTTGTTTTTTTGGTTTCTCTGTTCTGCTGAAACAACTGTTTTGAAGATCACTGATAATTCATCAAAACAATGACTTTCTCAGCCTTCAGGTTGTCATGCCCTTAAGTAGCTGGCAAGTTTCCTGAAGCCTTTTCTTTGCGTTCTATGACACTGCTTGATTTTCTTCCTGTGTCTGGCATCTTCCCAGGATCCTCTTTTATGTGGTCTTTTCCTAATGGAGATACCCTTGGTCCTCTTCTCCTGACCTTATTTACTCACAACCACATTATCTCTATGTGGTGACTAAGTTTTCTGTCTACTTGTTGGGCTCATCTTCCTAGAAGCTTTGCCTATGCTTAAATTCTTCTCTCTGTTTATTTTCCCTAAACATTTTTCAGCACTGTCTTGCTTATTTATCATCATCTTCCTACATAAGCTGGTTTTAAACTACATTGTATTTTTAACTGCCCTTTCCCCTTGTTCTCCACATAGAAGTAATTCTGATTTTTTTTTTTACTTCTGTGATGTTTCCAGAATCTCTTCCCTTTTCCTTCAGGTCATCAAGTCCACTCCCCTTAACCAGAGCTCTAATATCTAAATACTTTTATTTCTCTTTTTTTATTAAATAAATATTTATTTACTTGATAAGGTCACGCACACACAGAGACAGAGAGATAGAGATCTTCTCTTTCACTGGTTCATTACCCAAATGACTTCAATAGCTAGGGCTGGGTCAGGGCAAAGCCAGAATCCAGGAATTCTATCTGGGTCTCCAATGTGGGTGGCAGGGACTCAAGTACTTGAGTCATCATCTACTGCCTCCCAGGGTGCAGGGAGCTGAATCAGAAGCAGAGTAGCTGAGACTTGAATGAGTACTTTGAAATGAGATGCAAATATTCCAAGCAGCAGCTTAATCCACTGCACCACAATGCCAGCTGCTTCTGATTCTTTTTGCCTTCCTGACCCAACCTATACACTATTCTGTGATTGAACATTGTTGGATTATTTTGCTCTTTTACTCAAGATTTAATGATTTCCACTTGCCTTAGCATAGGGCCTAAACTCCCACACATGGCATGCAGAGCCTCTTCTAACTAGATCCCACTGAAATTTCCTATCCTATCCTTCACTGTGATCTCATACACCACAGGCAAACAAGGCTGCTCACCACTTCTAAGCATAAATTTTCCTCTGCTCCTTCTTTCCCCCTATAATCACATTATTTAATTTCTACCTCAAAGCCTAGTTCAAATGTCACCTGCTCTGTGAAGCCTCTCAGGTTTCTTCTCTGTGTTCTTTTGAGTTACCAGAGCAGTCTTGAGCATCCATGAATTCTCACCCCGGATTTGTGGATAATTGGTATACACTATAGGAACCTCTCACTATATGGACAGCATTGAAGTAGGTACTTATTTGTATTTCCTACATAATACTTCACACTTTTATTAAGTGTATATGAAGCAAAATTTTAATATACATGTGTTGTTTCTCCCTTTGGCCACCAGAGGGCAGGAGTGTGATGTTTAAATAATGTGTGTGTCTAGGTGTGTGTGTGTGTGTGTGTGTATACAGTGTGAATTTAAGCATCCTGAAAAAGACTATGGATTTCCTTTTGTGTCTAAAAGTTAATAATCTACTAAAGGTCAGATGAAAACTCAGTTATTAAGCTTTTAGTTCAGTTTGTGAATCTTGTTTATAAGCCTAATGAATTTGTCTAAACACTTCTAAAGGGTATGCATGTGAATTTTTGGTCTTTAAAGCTTTAGATAAATGCTCTTAAATATTTCAAATTACATATAAATTTAATATTTTATTGTCTTTTTTGACAGGCAGAGTGGACAGTGAGAGAGAGAAAGAGACAGAGAGAAAGGTCTTCCTTTGCCGTTGGTTCACCCTCCAATGGCCGCCGCGGCCGGCGCGCTGCGGCCGGCGCACCACGCTGATCCGATGGCAGGAGCCAGGAGCCAGGTGCTTTTCCTGGTCTCCCATGGGGTGCAGGGCCCAAGCACCTGGGCCATCCTCCACTGCACTCCCTGGCCACAGCAGAGGGCTGGCCTGGAAGAGGGGCAACCGGGACAGAATCCGGCGCCCCGACCGGGACTAGAACTTGGTGTGCCGGCGCCGCTAGGCGGAGGATTAGCCTAGTGAGCCACGGCGCCGGCGTCTTTTAAGTACTTTAATTACCCTAAATAATTAAAAACCCAATAAACTATAAATATGGTGATTTAATACTGATAAGTGTTCCAAAACTACTTATAACTAGTAAGATGTTTACTTAAGAAAATAATTTTCCATATATTTACAAAATTTACAATCCAGAAAATTAAATTAGAAATTCAAGGCTGAGTATGATTTTTTCTTTTCTGGGTATTTACAACATTTTTTTTAAATTAAGATTTATTTATTTGAGAGGCACAGTTACAGGCAGAGGCAGGGAGAAACAGAGAGATCCTCAATCTGCTGTTTACTCCTCAAATGGCCTCAATGGCCACAGCTGGGTCAATTTGAAGCCAGGAGCCAGGAGCTTCTTCTAGGTCTCCCACATGGGTGCAAAGGCCTAAGCACTTGTGTTGTCTTCCACTGCTTTCCCCAGCCATAGCAGAGAAAGGGTTGGAAGCGGAGCAGCTGTGACTTGAATCAGCACCCAAATGGGATGCAGGCACCACAGGCAGAGACTTAACCAACCACGCCACAGCTCTAGCCCCTGATTTTTTTTCTTTTAAGCCAGTACTGTTCAACATTATAAATGCTGTACTTTAAGTACAAATATACAGAGTCTTCTTATCATGGTACATTGTTATTTAATTTACTCATTTACCAGTTCCTTACTGAGCACCAGTCATGTGCTTGTACACTATTCTAGCCACTGTGAACACAACGTGAACAAAACAAAACAATCCCTGCCCTTGTAGAGTTTAATGCAGGTAGGGTGTGAAAGGCACTAAACATAATAAAAAATCATATTGCATGTTACAAGATGAAAAATAATTTTGGGAAAACAATAGAATACAGGAGGCGGAAAGAATTGTAATTAAAAAAACATTTATTTATTTGAAAGGAAGACAAAGGTAAGAGGGAGAGAGGGAGAGGTGTCTTTCACATCTACCAGTTTATTGCCCAAATGGCTGCAACAGCTAGGCTGGGTCAGGTCAAAGCCAGGTGTCAGGGTCTCAATCTGAGTCTCCCACATGGGTGACAGGGACACAAGTCTTAACCCATCACCAGCTACTTCCAAGGGTGCACATTAGCAGGAAACGAGGATGGGGATGGAATTGGGACTCAATGATACGGGATGTGGGAGACCCAAATGAGGTGTTTCCAATAGCCAAACACCCTAGGATTGTAGTTTTACAAAGTAGGGTGATCACTGAACTATCCATAGAAAGAAGCACTTGATAAGAGTTTCAAGGAAGCAAAAAAGGAGAGGCACATACCTGGACAAAGAATGAACTCAGAGAGAGGAACCAGTTAAGGAGATTTATAAAGAGCAGCCATTGAGGTAGAAGGAACCCAATTTAGTGTCCAGGAAGCCAAACTGGAAAGAAGTGTATCAAGAAGAAGAGAGCAGTCTTCTGTGCCAAACGATGGTCCTAGGTCAGGTAAGACAGAGGCTGAGACTTGACCTTTGGGGTTAGCGATGCAAAGGTCCTGGCTGACCTTGGTGAACAGTTTCAGTGGAATTATACAGTTGGAAACCTGACTGAAATGAGTTTAATAGAATATAGAAGAGACAGACTGATTAGTTGTTCAAAGAGACTTGCAGAGGATCAGTGTTGTGGTGTAATGGATTAAGCCGCTGCCTGCAATTTTGGTATCCCACATGGGTGCTGGTTTGAGTCCCGCTGCTCCACTTCAAATCCTGCTCTCTGCTAATGCACCTGGGAAAGCAGCAGAAGATGGCCCAAGTCCTTGGGCCCCTGCCCCAATGTGAGAGACCTGGATGGAACTCCTGACTTCAACCTGGCCCAGCCCTGGCCATTGCAGCCATTTGGGTAGTGAAGCAGGGGGTGAAAGATCTCTATTTCTATTTCTCCCTCTCTCTCTTTCTCTCTGTAACTCTGTTTTTCAAATAAGTAAAGTAAATCTTTTTAAAAAAGCGTGTTACTAGAGAAAGAGCAGGGAATGGACTACTCTCTGGAAGAGTTTGCTGTTTTCATATTTTACATGGGAGAAGTAAAAATGGGTTTGTATGCTGATGTGAAATATGCAATAAAGAGGAAAAAGTTAGTGGATCCATATCCCAAGTTGGTGAGAGAGTATGGGAACTTAGTGCAGAACACTTCAGTAGGATCATGGATGGTTTGTCTAACTTAATAGAAAGGAAGGCACAGTATATGAGTATAGATACCCTCAGGGAGGTCAATGAGGTGGTGGAATTTCTGTGAAATTTTACTTTGGAAACATAAGCAAGATCACCAACGAGATCTGAAGGGGGAGGACATATTAGAAGTTTGAGGAAAGAAGAGAATGAATGAAAGCCTAGGATAATATGGATATATGTGGTGTGAGGAAATGTGGTGTAGCTTCTGGGCAGTATAAAGCATTTATTTAAGGAGTCTAGTGAGGATTTTAAAGTGAGGCAATACAAAAGTGGATCAGAAATTCTAGGTATTTACAAGGGAGCAGCCATAATATTGACCGTGGCATTTAGGCTGGCAAAGACCAGAGTTATGAGATAGGAGGTGAGGGCAGTGAGAGAGGAGCAGGATTCACAGATTCTTGGTCTCAGAGGGGCTGAAAGATTGTTGGAATTAGAATCCTAGAGAGAATGATCTGAAAAAAATAGGAGGTAGTGATCAGAAAGTTTATGATGTGTAACAACAAAGTCTGTGGCATGGTTATGGGAATGAGTGAGTGAGGTCTGGTGGAGGACAAGGTCAGAGAGGTAAAAGAGTTTCAGGAACTGAGGGGCCAAGGCCTGGAGAGGTCACCTACATATATGTTCAAGTCACCAAAAATTAAGACAAGAGCCAAAATGAGCAAGAAATGAAGTGGCCTGATGCAAGTGTCAATAAATGATGAAAGCAATGTGGGGGAGGGAATTCAAAAATTTTTTTTTTAAAGATGAGTAGATGCTCAGTAGGTATCACTCTATTTTATTTATTTATTTTGACAGGCAGAGTTAGACAGAGAGAGAGAAAGGTCTTCCTTTTCCGTTGGTTCACCCCCAAAATGGCCACCATGGCCGGCATGCTGTGTTGATCTGAAGCCAGGAGCCAGCTGCTTCCTCCTGGTCTCCCATGCAGGTGCAGGGCCCAAGCACTTGGGCCATCCTCCACTGCCTTCCCGGGCCACAGCAGAGAGCTGGACTGGAAGAGGATCAACCAGTACAGAATCCGGAGCCCCAACCGGGACTAGAACCAGGGGTGCTGGCGCCGCAGGGGGAGGATTAGCCTAGTGAGCCACAGCGCCGGCTGGGAATTCAAATTTTTTAAGAGATTTATTTTATTTATTTGAAAGAGAGTTACAGGGAGCTGGTGCTGTGGAGCAGTGATTTAACACCCTGGCCTGCAGTGCTGGCATCCCATATGGGCACCTATTCCAGACCTGGCTGCTCCACTTCTAATCCAGCTCTCTGCTGTGGCCTGGGAAAGCAGTAGAAGATGGCCCAAGTCCTTGGGCCCCTGCACCCATGTGGGAGACCTAAAAGAAGCTCCTGGCTTCAGATTGGTGCAGTTCTGGCCGTTGCAGCCAATTGGGGGTGAACCATCGGATAGAAGACTTCTTTCTCTCTCTCTGCCTCTCTTCTCTCTGTGTAACTCTGACTTTCGAATAAATAAATAAATAAATAAATCTTTTTTTTTAAAGAGAGAGTTACAGAGAGAGGTAGAGACACACAGAGAGGTCTTCCATCCACTGGTTCACTCCCCAAATTGTGACGGCTGGAGCTGAGCTGATCCGAAGCCAGGAGTCAGGAGCTTCTTTCAGGTCTCCTACATAGGTGCAGGGACCCAAGGATTTGGGCTATCTTCTGCTTCTTTCCCAAGCATATTATCAGGGACTGGATCAGAAGTGGAGCATCTGGAACTCAAACCAGTGCCCACTTCTGGGATGCTGGCACTGCAGGCAGCGGCTTTACCGGCTACGTCACAGTGCAGGCCCCATCTATACAACTTCTATCATGCCTGTATCATTGTTTTAGGGAACAGGATGAGGTATGGTTTTCTGATGTATGCCTAAAATAGAATCAAATAGAAAAAATCTGAGATATTTGTGTTTTGCCAGATTATCAGTAATTTCCTCTGCAAAATGCAGTAATTCTTAACTGGGAAAAACCTATGCAACCTTATGGTTAATGGTATGGGGTATATGTGATAATTAGTAATGAGCACCACTGTCTTCTTGGGGACACAGGGACTGTAACTGGCCTAGGCTCCCTCACCAGATGAGTAGCCTATTTGTACATGTCTGCCTTGAAGAGTAATTCAAAACTGTGTCTCAGAAAGCTGACAAATTATTGTGCATCCAGTGCTCAAAAAAAGTCCCAATCTCAATGTCAGATTCTTATGTGTTAAACTTACTGTATCATCATTGACTATGTGGGTGGGGCTGATCTTATTCTCATAAATTACTCTCTGGGTGCAGAAGCTTGCTATTAAATTCGATTGTTAGGGGGTGGGTGTTTGGCACAGCAGTTAGGTTGTTGTTTGAGACGCCCACATTGGAAGTCAGAGTGCAGAGGTTTGAGTCCTGTCTCTGCTGCCAGTTGCAGCTTCTTGCTTATGTGCACCCTGGATGAAAGAATGTGGTACCTTAAGCAGTCGGATTCCTGCCACAGATGTGAAAAATCTGGACTGATGTTTAACACATAGAAGAAACTACATTCAGACATAACTGTTTGCAGGCTTGGGACGAAAGTCTTTCTGCTATACCATGTGGTTTTTCCAGCATAGAAACAACAGTGACATTTTTACTTTTTTAGAGCATTGGTTTAGTTGACAGGATATTTTTTTTTTATATATAAAATTATTTTATTTGGGAGGCAGAAAGACAGGGAGAAGGAGGGCGGGAGAGAGAAAGAAAGCAAGCACTCTCATCTGCTAATTCACTCCTCAAATGTTCGCAGTGACTAATCCACACTGAGTAGAGGCTGAAGCTGGGGGCTCTAGACACACAATCCAGGTAATGCAGATCTCCCACGAGGGTGGTAGGAACTCAACTGCTTGAGCTATCACCACTGCCTCCTAGAGTCTGCATCAGCAGGGAGCTTGATTCAGGAGCCAGCTGAGAATATAGTAATCTTAACCACTAGGCCAAATGCCCACTCCTGAGATAGAGTATTTTGAATTTCAATTTTAACTTAAAAGTTTAAAAATAATCAAAAGCATTTTAATTGATACATACTGTACATATTTATGGGTTATGTGATGTCTTGATACATGTATACCTTGTATATGTTCAAATCATGGTAAACATCTATCTTCTCAGACATTTATTTTTAACATTTAAGAAATTTAACTTCTAACTTTTTCTCATAACGTCTACCAGAAGTAAGATGACTAGGTTAAAGAAAAATGAATTTATTATTTTGATAAATATGGTCAAATTTGTAAGTTTACACTCCAACCAGCCAGCAATAGAGAAGGGGTATATTGCCAAACTTACTAACTTTGCTAATATGATAGATTAGAAATTGTAGGCACCGGTGCTGTGGTGTAACAGGTAAAGCTGCTTCCTGCAGTGCTGGCATCTTATGTGGGCACCAATTCGATTCCTGGCTACTCTACTTCCGATCCAGCTCTCTGCTGTGGCCTAGAAAAGCAGTGAAAACGGCCCAAGTCCTTGGGCCTCTGCACCCGCATGGGGAACACGGAAGAAGCTCCTAGCTCCTGGCTTCGGATTGGCGCAACACCAGCTGTTGTGGCCACCTGGGGAGTGAACCAGTGGATGGAAGACCCCTCTCTCTCTCTGCCTCTGCCTCTCATGTAACTCTGCCTTTCAAATAAATAAATCTTAAAAAAACAGAAATTGGGCCAGCGCCGCGGCTCACTAGGCTAATCCTCCACCTTGCGGCGCCGGCACACCAGGTTCTAGTCCTGGTCGGGGCACCGGATTCTGTCCCGGTTGCCCCTCTTCCAGGCCAGCTCTCTACTGTGGCCCGGGAGGGCAGTGGAGGATGGCCCAAGTGCTTGGGCCCTGCACCCCATGGGAGACCAGGATAAGTACCTGGCTCCTGCCATCGGATCAGCGTGGTGCGCCAGCCGCAGTGCACTGGCCATTGGAGGGTGAACCAACGGCAAAGGAAGACCTTTCTCTCTGTCTCTCTCCTCACTGTCCATTCTGCCTGTAAAAAAAAAAAGAAACAAAACAGAAATTGTATATCAGTGCAGTTATGAAGTTGAGCATCTTCTCACATATTTAAGGGTTGTTTGTGTGTATATATGTATATATATGCATGTGTGTTGTATTTTCATGTGTGCATATGTGCATTCGCATGATCTAATCATGCCCTTGCTTCTTTTTCTCTTGGATTTGTTCTTATTCCAATTTTAGCATATATATTCAATAAATCATTTGTCTTTTATATGAGTAGCAAACATTTTTCCAAATGTGTCATTTATTTGTCTTTTGACTTTACCTCTGGTGGTCATGTGGTGTCATTTGGTGGTTGCTATGTTTTACCACACAGAAGTCCATTTTATTTACTTACAATTTATTACCATGAAAAGGTTAATTTTATTTACTTAAGTTTTATCACCATGCTAAAGTGAGTGGTACTGTGAACCCTCTTTCTGGGAATATGGTCCTTGGGTCAGACCAAGCCACAAAGATTGATGACCAAAACGCTGCTTTATTACTTCTGACATCTCCCACAATTCCCCTCCTTGGAGAGAGCAGGAATTGACTCACCAATAACTTTCCTCATTAGCCTTCCCTTTCCCAAGCTCAGGGTTTGAAGGAAGAGGAACTGAAACAAGCCAGGAGTTCAGGAAACCATTGTTTTTAATGGGGTTGAAAAGGTAGGAAAGGGATTTGCTGGCAAGATGTTCAGCATTGTATCTCCTTTTTTCTTTTCTTGGCAGGGGTTCATGTACAGAAAGAAAGGAGCCCCAAAGGCTCTCTTCTCAGGCATGGGGTAAATGGGGAGAAGACAGTAGAAGAGGAATGGGAGACCTTTGTCTTTTGCCACAGGGAAGGAGAATTGAGACACAGAATACTGGGAGAGACATTAATCACCTTATATCTGTGAGGGTTGACTAATACTGCACTTCCCTGGGTATTTACAGATCACAAGGGAAACAGAGTTATAGACAAGGAAAGATCAGGGGCTCAGCAGTGAAGCAACCTGTAAAACTGGGTTGATCCCTGGTAATTTAAACCATACCCTCAATGCCCCCTCACTCTCTGGCTTTGACCTCTGTCTTCGATGTGTTGCCCTCCTGCCTGGTCACTGTTTCTACTTTTTCCGCCCAATCTGTGCCATCAGGTGGGCATTGGCAGCTGCCTTGGCTTGCAAGTTCTTTGCCTTGGCAATGTTGAAGAGGATGTTCATGATGTTGGTGGGAACGTCGAGGGACAGAGTGAACTTGGTGTGCCGGTCACTCTTGGCTTTGTCTTGGTATACCTTCCCCCGGAGCTGTGCTTGGGACAGGTATTTGTATCGAATGCTTCCAGCTCCACTGCTGCCTCCAGAGCCTGGGGAAGTCCTTTTCTCTTTGTCTTGTTTTTCCTCTCTCTCCTTCTCTTCCTCTCCTGAGGATGGACCTTGGCTGGGCAGGTAGAGGAAGCTCCTCTTGCTCAGCAGGGATACAGCCTCCAACTGGCTCTTCTTGGCCTCAGACAGGGCTGTGTTGAGGCAGCTGAAGATGGGCTTGTCTTTGTAGAACTTATGGGAGAGGCCTGTTCTTGGGCCTGCTGGGAGCAGCAGCAGCAGCAGCAGGAAGTGAGCAGGCCTCAGCATCTCTCCCTGCAGTGGAAAAGAGGGGCACGGGGAGGTGATATGAGAGGTGACATAGAGTTTGAAAGGACATGGAAGGACACCCAAAGGGTGTTGTTGATTTCTACTATGGGGGTTCCCAGAGTATAGTGCCCAGATCAGTAGCCTCAGCATCATCTGGGAATTTGTTAGAGATGTAAGTAATTATCTGGTCTTGTTCAGAACTACTGCGGCATAGCAATCTGTGTTTCAACAAACTTTCCTTGATTTTGACGATCTTTAAAGTTTGAGACCCCCTAAGTCTACGAGTATATGGGTTTTATATAATTCAGCTATGTAGGCAGCCACTGGCCCTGTAAGTGAACAACAAATATGGCAAGTAGGCATTTAGCAGCCTAACTGGGTTAATTAGAATGGCCACATGAATTTTTATTCATGTCATCATTAGGAAGGCAGATTAAATATATCCACATGGCTTAAGCAGTATGGTGGGTATTTGCTCATTGCTTCTAAGGCAGATCTCTAAGGCTAATTTCCTGGTAAGTTATTCCTAGTTTCTTAAGAATAACCAGGCTTATTAGTTTGGTTGATTTTATGAGACCTAAGTCAGCAAAATGTCAGCAGGAAGCCTAGCAACTCCCAGGGAGGCCTGGAGCCTCCATCCTAAGACAGTCACCTCTGATCACATGTGTGTGTTCTTGTTTGCCTCCCAGACTTGAGTGAGGCTGAGGGTCTCAGGAGCAGTCAGCCGAAACTCTTATTTTAGGACATGCTCCACCTAGAGAGGCCTCATACCTTCTTCAGGTGCCTGTTCATTGGTATTTCCAAATTCTGGGTGAGATGTGCAATTGTCCAAAATACAAGACCTTGATGGGTATGAAAGGATTATATTTTCAAAGTGACCACTTGAATCCATTCTTTCACTATTTTATAAAAGGAAACAATTAAGTCTTATTGTATGAAACATGCTGGCAATGCAAACACCCAGAATAATGGTCCTTCTGTAACTCAGACTGTTAGGACCTCAAGCCATCGCATATATTTGTTGGTCTAGCAACCATCAATAGCATCAGTTATGACTTCAAGATGCTTTCTCCCAAGGAAGAGGACTAATGCTGAGTCACCCATGTCCTCCTGCCCAGTCTCCTTTGATGTAAAAGCAGACAGATGTATGTGCCAGAAGGTCATCAGAATTAGGATTGTCTGTGGTCATTAACTTTTTTAAGTTTTTCTCTCTCTCTCTCTCTTTTTTTTTTTTTGACAGGCAGAGTGGACAGTGAGAAAGAGAGAGACAGAGAGAAAGGTCTTCCTTTGCCGTTGGTTCACCCTCCAATGGCCACCACGGCCTTAGCGCTGCGACCGGTGCACCGTGCTGATCCGATGGCAGGAGCCAGGTACTTATCCTGGTCTCCCATGGGGTACAGGGCCCAAGGACTTGGGCCATCCTCCACTGCACTCCCTGGCCACAGCAGAGAGCTGGCCTGGAAGAGGGGCAACTGGGACAGAATCCGGCGCCCCGACCGGGACTAGAACCTGGTGTGCCGGCGCTGCAAGGGAGGATTAGCCTAGTGAGCCGTGGTGCCGGCCTGTGATCATTATTACTTAGGGAAATTGTGAGGCAGGTAGAGTTTACTTCTTGTGCCCTGGAATTAAACTCACCCTGTACCCCAGTCCCCTTTGCCTCATCTGTGGGCACACACAGCTCTTAAATAAAGACATGACACTAATTTACTTCATTTGCATCCTTGATCATGCATGAGAAAAAAAAGGGAGGTCAAAATTTCCAGAGTTTCATCCTCCTAGGATATACATAGCTGATGTCCAGTATAGTATGACATATGCTTGTTCCCAGGCTGCACCATCAGAATGAATCTGCTCCTGGACTGTCATATGGGGTACCTGTGAACAGTGGAGTCTTTTGCCACACTGTGTTGCATTACTTGGATTTGGAGTTTATTTTATTAGCCAAGATAACACTTGGCTTCTACAAAAGGAGCAAGAAATATGTGGTTAACTATGACACTTGGGGTAGTTATTGTCTTATGGCATCTTTTTTTTTTTAAGTAAGTATGAACAATTGTATAAATAAATCAACAGGGAGATTCTCCCAGGCATTCAGCAGTGTGAAGCTGGGACTGGGATTTCTACAGTGACAGCACAGAGTAGAGCCAGCCAAGTTGAGATGACAACAGAAACCTGAGTTCCAGCCCCAGCTCTTTAGCTCACTATCACTTTGATCTGGACCTGGATATTTCCTATAACATTAGTGGGATTGGACCTTTCAGACTTCCAGTGGGAAGCCCTTCCAGACTTCCTTGCCTAAGGAACCAGATGGTGGAATCGGAATTGGCCCTTAAACTGAGCCTCCCCTGAAAGACGATCCTGCAAATTCCGGCTCTTTCACTTACCTTGGAAACACACACAAACATACACATCTACACAAACATAAGAGGAGTGTTAAAAACATTTGTGGAAAATAAAATGTTTATGAAAAAACTATGAATGGATTTCAAATTTTTTTTGCAACAAAATAAACTTATCTTTAATTCTATTTTTCTGCGAATGTCTTGAGGTACCCTCATCTATACAAATACATATGTATACAAATACACACTGCACATTTACTCATATACAAAGCTCTACACACCTCACATACACATATCTCATGTATATCACACACATTAACACTTCATGACATATATACCTCAAACTCATGCACATATACACACATCACACACAGACACTCATACATACACTTCACAATACATGACTCACATAAACATATACTTCACATGTACATAACTCACATAGATCTACACACACATAAAATCCAGTTAACATGTACACATTTCATGTACACCTCAACATATATGTACACACATATAAACATTTAAGACATAAAACTTCACAGACATGTACACATAATGTATGCATAGGCATACTTTCACATATGTATATACAAAAACTTACATATACTTCAGACATATACAAATGGACACACAACCATATACACATTTTACACAATATACACATAAACACAAGTACATGCACACACTTTCCACACACACATAAAGTGTTGATGTGTATATGTACCCATTTATGCACACATCTCATGTACACAAAATACATATATATGTATACACACATGGACACACATACACACATGTGTGCCTTTGCTTGACAAGTTTCCTGTGGCAGCTGCTGCTTTCCTTAGCCTTCCCCCTTGTATCAGCTTTCTTATTTTAAATGTTTTCCCTAGAAACCAGGGTTTGTTTTATTTGTTTTTCTTTTGTTTTGCCTTACAAAAGTTTGCAGCTTATTTTATCTAACATTTTTCATAATATTTTATAAAAAAATTCACCCTTCTTGCTTTAAGTAATTCAATATGTACACTAGCCAGATGTGGACATGCTATGTCATGCTGTGAGAACAATGAAATCTTTGGAGTTACACAGATTTATGCTCGAATTCCATCTTCATCTTTGTTTGTCTGAGGACCTTGGGTAGATTCCTTAAGCTCTGAGAAATTCTGTTTCCTGTGCTGATAAACGGGTTTACAATAAATACTTCATAAAGGTTAAGTGAAAGATTAAATTAAAAATGTCCGTCAGTGAAAGCTGTTTGTTTAAGCAGACACTTAATGAAGGCTGGTTTATGCTTATTTATACATAAATATAATAATCTCCAGGTCCTACTAGAAGGTTTGTTCTGCACATAATCTTTTCAAATGTGCAATTTACACACTCTCTCTCTCTCACACACACACATGCATGTCAGATAGTTTGAGCCAGCAATTTGTTTCTGCAGATCAGTATCCTTGATTGTGTTGTACCTCTTGATTATAGTTTTTGGCTATACCACCCTCTCATGCACCCAAACTACACTGGTGAGCTTTGCCTTTAACTTAGTGTGAGTGTTCCCTAACTCAGAGAACTGCAGAATCCTGTGAAGGAATTGTTCAAACACAGAATAGGGAGTCCTATCCAGAGAGAGTTTCTGGTTCAGTGATTTGACTACAGGGCCTGGGAACTTGCACTTCCCACAGGGGCCCAGGTAATACTGCTGCTGTGGGTCTGTGGACCATACTTGGACAACTGCTTTTCCATGAGTTCCAAGCACCCCTATTCTCCTTAGAATGCAGGCCGGACCTCCTGGAGAATACTTTACAGGGTGGATTGACTGTCCTTCAGAAAATGGGCTTGTTCTTCTTTTAAACATTGCATCCAACACCACACAAATGGCTTTATTTCGTACTAAGGAAATAGTACGAAGTACTATTAAATAGCTAGCTGTTTATACATAAATGAAGTAAAGATGGACGTTTTAGCTCTCTTATAACTCGAAGGCATCTTAATGCTTGGGAGCAGTGTTGAATGATTTGTTAACTCTGAATTAATTAAAACCAGTTCAGAAAGGGTTAATGCTGGTAGCAAATCTGTTCCTTTGTCCCCTTGTTCCATTCAAAGAGCAGCTTCAGACTGCCCCTCCCACTAATCAGCTCAGGCCTAAATGCCGCCCCCACCCCCCTACCGGGTCTCACTGTTTTCCTGTGTGAGAGCAGCAAATTCAGTTTGGGAGTCTTTGATTTCTTTATCCTTGTACTTTGGAAAGCAGGAGGCCCCTCTACAAAAAAGCCTGGAAGAATGAAATGATTTCTCAGTAAAGGTTGCCTGGGCACTGAGTGAGCCTAAGTTAAAGAAGGAGGGTTTGAGCCGGCGCCGTGGCTCAATAGGCTAATCCTCCACCTTGCGGCGCCGGCACACCGGGTTCTAGTCCCGGTTGGGGCGCCGGATTCTGTCCCGGTTGCCCCTCTTCCAGGCCAGCTCTCTGCTATGGCCAGGGAGTGCAGTGGAGGATGGCCCAGGTGCTTGGGCCCTGCACCCCATGGGAGACCAGGAAAAGCACCTGGCTCCTGGCTCCTGCCAGGATCAGCGCGGTGCGCGCTTGCAGCGGCGGCCATTGGAGGGTGAACCAGCGCAAAAGGGAAGACCTTCTCTCTGTCTCTCTCTCTCACTGTCCACTCT